GGGCCGGGCAGGAAACGGGAGGGAGACGGCTACCAGGGCGGGAAACTGCCGCTAAACGCTGCGGCTGGCGGAGTAAATAGGTGAGGGTGGCGGCTGGGACCGACCTGAGAGCAGCTGATCTGCTGTCCGGCAGGCTGCTGGCCTGATGGATCCCGTGTAAACATCCAGGAAAAGCCAGGTATCTCCGTAGGCCGTCTCAAACCTTTGGGGTGCCGTTGTCCCCAGGGGAGCTTTCCCTCATGCTTTCCTTGCGTCGTGTTGCTGCTTCATCTGCTCCCCAGCCCTGTGCCCCGAGCCAGGTGAGCGCTTGGATGCCCAGCCCCTGAGGAGCACGGCGTGGACCAGCTAAGTGGTGGTTTTCACCACGAGTCAGCTGTCTTGAAATGATACCTCTAGGGCAAGGCTGGCCAGCTTTTGCTGACCTCTGAATCACATACCGACATCCTCGTGAAGTGAGGTGCCACCAAGTGCATGGAGTGCATCCCAGAGAGCTGGGACCCATGGGCAGGATGTGAAAACCCACCTGCTTTGAAGGGTGGGCCAGCCTGGTTCTTCCAGGGATTGCAGTAGCTGCTCTCTGCCAGGAGCCTCCCTCTCCACTCGTGCCTTCATCCAGTCTCCCAGGCCAGGTATTCCACACATAGCACCCACCTCACAGAGTTTTGAGCAGCTACTCTGCTGGGTATTTATCTGCTGAACTCCCCTTGAGGGAAGAGGTATAGCTTTCATTTATCCTGCTGCCAGTTTACATCTCTGCTGCTTTTGTTGCTGTGACAGGAGCAGCTGGCTTTCTCCACACCATGTGCCTCCATATTCCCTTAGGTGCACTTTACAGCTCCTGCCTAGACCTAACCCTCCTGCCCCTCCAAAAGCCCCGTGCTGCTGGCACAGCCCCTCAACCCTGCTCAGGGCAGCAGCGGCAGCAGCAGAGACAGGGGCATGTAGGACCCATTTGACGCGTAAGAGGACCCTGTCACATCTCTCACGTTTGCTGTTGCTCCTCTAGGGTTTCTTGTCCGACACACCGTTGTTGCCCGGTGACAGCCGGGACCTTCTGAAGGCAATCTGGAGGGAGCGTCCGACACACCGTTGTTGCCCATATCTGTTTTCCTGGTGACAGCCTGGACCTTCTGAAGGCAATCTGGAGGGAGCAAGCTCCTGTCTTTTGGGTGAGATGATTAGGAAAACCTCTGGTGAACCCAGGAAAAAAGAGAACATGTTAGAACTGGTGGGAAATGTCCCTATGTGAAGCCTGATGGATGCTTCCCCAAGGTGAAAAAGCAGAGCTCAGCGAATCACCTGGCACTGCTTCAGAGCAATATCCCCAAACCCCTGCCTTGGCTTCTGATCCCTGTTTCTTTGATCTGCTTCGCTCTAAATTTTCAGAAAAATTGTCTTGAGGGGGATTCAAAGCAGCCTAGCAAATGTGTCTGGCTCCGCTTTCCCTTGCTCCAGTACAGCTAGGCTGGCGTCAGTGCCGTTGCTCTTGTTTCAGATCCATGTGAAGCAGAGTGAGAAGGAGGCCTGCTGTCTCCAGGGCTGGCAAAGCACTCCAGTAGTTGCTGGAGACTTGCACTGGCTCTCCCAGCAATGAACTGATGGCCTTTAGATACAGAGAGCTTTATTTCTGGTGTTGAGCACAGCTCCAGAAACATGTCAGCTTCCTATTATTTTGCTTAATGCCTCAACAGAAAAGGTACCATCTACTTTTCAAGCTTAATTACCATCAGTTTTCTGCTTGGGAGGGAGGAGGGTTGTGTACATAAAAATAGCAAGTGCAACTGTTTTAAATCTGACAATATTTCCATGCTTTCTCCCTAAGGAAAATACTTTCCACTGCTTTTTTCTGCCTCTGGCAGTTTTTACAGGTGGTCTGTAAGTTAACCCTATTGACAAAAATGGGAGGCTGTTACAGAAATGCTGAAATGAGACCACACCCACAAAGAAAGGTGACAACGGGGGTCAAAAGGCTGCTTTATAGTTGCTTCCAGGCTGGAGAGGGTTTGCTTGCAGCAGTTGGGGCTACCCCAAGAGCCCCCTGGGCTCCACGCTGTGACAGTGCTGCAGCCACCCTGTGTCACTCACCCATGGCGTTTTGTCACTACACCGGGTCCAGACATGGACCTGTTGAGGATGAAGAGGGGAGGAAGCTGCCGCTCTCAGTGAGCGCTGTGTTAGTTCAGGACCTGCTGTGCATCCTGGGGGCTCAGTGAGAGAAGGGATGTTTGGCTGGCTGCACAGCACTCAGGACCAGGCCCTTAAAAATGCACAGACTGGGCACTACAGCTGGGCTCCCACAGGTAGAGTTGTTTCTGTTGCTGCGTAGGGGACTCACGAAACCAGTCCCTGGGCCTTAACCTATATGCATATTTCTGGAGGAGAAGGAAGGTAGTAGCAGCTGGCAGCTACCTTGCCTGTCCTCCTTCCTCTCCCCGCAGTCTACACAGTAATGTTCTATGCTGCAAAGCTTTACCTGGAACTAGCCAAACAGCTTGCTGCTGCGTCTAGCTAGTCAACGCAAGCCAAGCTAATCCTAAACCACTTGAGAGTCCGTGACTGTTCATGTGTTTCCAGAAGGGGCATGAAGCAAAGATACGATGTAGAAGAGATCTCTGGAGGTCTGTAGTCCACCTCTGCTCAAAGCCAGCTTCAAAGTTAGAGCAAGTTGCTCAGGGACCATCCAGTTGGGTTTTGAGGATCTCCAAGGATGGAGAACCCACAGCCTCTCTGGTCAGCCTGTGCTGGTGCTGACCATCCTCAAGGTTAAAAGGTTTATTCTCTGTATCCAATCAGAATTTCCTAGTTGCAATTTGTATCTGTTGCCTCTTGTCTTTTCACTCTTCACATCTGAAAAGGGTCTGGCTCCAACTTCTCTCTAACTCCTTCTCCAGGCTGCGCAAACCCAGCTCCCCCTGGCTCCCCCCGAAATCCTGCAGTCAGCCCCCAGCCAGCTCCCTTAGCCCTCCGCAGCACTCTCTCCAGCTTGTCAAGCTCTCTCATACACATCTCTGGAGTAGTATTTAGGGCGTAATGCAGCACAGCCCAGCTTGTAATCCAGAAGAAGAGAATAAAATTTATTTCCTGCAACCAGACCTTTGGGAAGTGTTGTTGGATGGGGCTGGGGGACTGCTGGCTCTTCCCCAAGAAGAGCACAGCACATGGAGGCAGACCAAGCAGGCTGATCACGGCAGGGAGCAGGCAACTCTAGGATGCTGATGGGCATCAGCAGCTGAAAAGGCTGCCCTGGCTCATTAGCCTCTCCTGCTGCAGAGCAGCCAGTGGGCTGTCAGTGCAGGCAGCCTTGGCGAAATGCTCCCGGTGACAGGCACAGAAGAGAGGAGGGGGAGAGGCTTGCTAACATGACTGTTACAAAGGAAGAGTTTTCTTTCCTCATTAATCTCCTTGGGTGAAGCTAATTGCTCTTTCCCAGTTATTCCCACCACATCTTCCGGCCCTGCCCATAAGGCATCTATACAATCCTAGCAGTCTGGCTTGGAAACGCTCACTTTGCTCATCACATCAGTGTCCCCATCAGGGTAAACTATAGCCTTGTTTGCATTTGTGTTACAGACTATATTCTGCTCACCCTGCAGAACATTTACTGATAAGATTCATTTCTTGGAAACATGCCAGAATCCAGTGATGCTCACATTAAAGTACATGTCAGGACTTTTTAAAAGCCCTGCAACATTGGCACAACGATCACGGAGATCATTTGCTGATGTCAAACTCTGCAGCTGAATCCAATCAGCCTTCTGAAATGGCCTTTTCAGCCTCCTCTGACTCATAATAATAATTCAGGGTTAGATTTTGCATTTGTCTGTGGCTTTTAATAAAGGGTTGTAGAGAGCTGCACCTGTCAGAGCTTTGCATCTGCCCAGGGAAGGGGGATGGATCAGTCTGAAACATTTCAAATAGTTTATCACGTGTCTTTCCAGCTCACCAAACAGTCCTGCACTGGGGAGACGCCTTTTTCTCCACTCTCCTTCCCTGCTTGTACATGTTGTACCCAAGGGAATTGGAGACTTTAACACTCCGCCATGCCCCTACACCTCCATGTGCTCGCCAGTTCCCTTGGCGTGTTCCACATGCTCCAGTGCCCAGGAAAGTACCTCCCGTGCTGATTTTTACAACCCAGGGGTTGTAAAGGAGCTCTTGATGCTCTTAGAACTGCATTCTCACCTCTTCCTCATTAAACCCACAGCTTGTGTATCAGATAAAGGCAGAGAGACCTGATCTTCCTGCCACCTCCTTTCCCCACCTCTTTGCTTTGATTGTGCTCAGAGGGATCAAAGACACTCATTCAGATCTGGAGGAGACTGGCCTCCCTAAACTGCCTTGTGTCACTGCTATGGCTCTGCCCAGGTGCCCCGCATAAGCAGGGACGCTTGCTTCCCTGTGGTGAGTGCCAGTGAGCAGCGTTAAGGATATCTAGCCTCTTCCCTTCCTGGTTTGCAGAGGTTTCGATTTGGCTGAATTTAGGACAGTTGCTAGACACAAGGCAGTCTTATCACCAGACCCAGTGAAACTGTTTGCTTGATTGTTTTTTGCTAGTGAATCATTAATAAGTCAGTATGGGTTAGCTAGCAGACTGTGGGAGCAGCAGCAATTAAATACAGGGAAGAAAGAAGATGTGTTTCTCGTGTGGGAGAGTGACTTGGGGAATGTCCCCAGCATGAAGTAACCAGGCTGCTCACAGAGCTTAGCGTACCGGGGAAAGGACAGGTCAGGGAAAAGCTTAGCATCCATTTAACTTGCCTCATTAATTCCCCCAGGTTTGGATATAATGACTGTCCTGCCTGTCAGAGGAGCGTCAGAAGCCAGTCCAAGGAGAGTCGTTACAGCATGAGAGCAGGTCTGTCTTGCCTCATCTTCTACCCTACAGCCCCCACAGCCAGTGGGGAGCAAACTAGGAGTATCAGATTTGATTAGATTTCTCTGCTTAGATCCCAGTTCAGTGCAGAAATAACAAGCCTCACTGCCGACAGAATATCAATGTGATTTTTATGTCTCTGTAATTAAAAATAAAATAAATTAAGCTGCCACTGAAAACATCTTACTACACAGCTTGCTGGCCAACATGTGGTCCCATTCTTCTTCTGTCTTCCTGATTAAGATCTTAATTTAATAAAGGTAAAAAAAAGTCTAGATTCCCATCTTCCAAGAAGATTCTAAAGGAAGCAGAAAATAGAAGCAATAATATCAAAGTCTGTAAGATCTTCTAGTTTTTATTAAGCCCTTGGTCTGGCAGAACAATGTTGTCTAGGCTTCCATATCCAAAGGTGACTACTAAGTGTTTTTGACTCACTGAACACTATAAAATTAGGCTAATTTTCTTCCCTGGCTGGTGAAAATAATAATGACAAACTGATGAGTTCTCTGCATAGGAACCTGTGAGCTGTTTTCAGGGACTTCACTCCAGAAGAGAAGCATCTTGTAAGAAAAAAAAGTGTATGGATCGGAAAGCATTTTGTAGGTATCACCTGATTATGCTTGTGACCACTCTTCTGAAATAGATTACATCCAGGCCATTTTACAGGTCGAGGACCTAAAAAAAAAAAAAAAAAAGGAGTTTTAGGGGGGGGGTTTCTGCCCCAAGGGGGGGGGTTTCTGCCCAACACCTAGAAGCAGGGCAGGAATGTGATCTAAACCCATGAATTCCCAGTGCCCTCACTTTGCTTAGTAGACCTGGAGGGCTTGCTGGCTCCTAGGTTCAGGTGGGTGCCCCAGCCTGTAGGCAGGGAAAAATCCTGGCATTTGGATAATATACCAGGAAAATACCCAGGATTCAGTAGATAAGTATTAGAATGTAGGTAAGCATCTGAACACCACGAGCATCCCCGTACCACTGACCCAGCATAACCAGTGCTAACTCTGTGCGTGGGTGCTGAGGGGCCCGAGGTGCATCCAGAATGTGTGCTGAGACTTGGCCTGGTGACCCGCCATGCTGAACACTGGTGGGGTCCCTGTGCTGAGTAAGCCAGCTGAGGAGAGCTGTTACTGACCTTGTCCAAATGAGCACGCTGGCAGGAGGCCGCGCTATTTATTTCATTTGAATAATACATGACTAATAAGTTAAATAAGAGAAAGTGGAATGAGCTTTCCAGTTCAGCTAAAATGTTTGATGCGTGTTTCCTGGGCATTTGGAGCCTCTGGGAAGCTTTGTAGTGGCCCTAATGAACTTGCCAATGTGGATAGTATGAAATACTTTAATAATTAATTTATGAGACAGTACTGTCTATGATATATAAACTGAAATGATTAAAGAGATGAAGCTGTCCTTTCTAAACTGCCATTTGATCTTGATTGAAATGTTGCAAGTTCTGTTACAAAGGTATTTCATGAAAGTAGTTCAATAAACCTTGCTTTTAATTAAATTGTCATAATTAGGCTATCTTTTATGTTCTTATAATGTTACATTTGCATCAGATGAAAAAAGAGAGGGGAGAGGGAGAAGGCCAGACAAGTAGCAACCAAAGCTGCCTGAGACCAACCTTGCAAGGGGACAGAGGCCATTAACTCTTTTGTAATCCTGATCCATATCAAGTGATCAAGGTGAGGATACAAGCCATGAAAGAACTCCCATTATCTTATCAACCCTCCAATACACATGATACCTTTATTACAGCTCTAACTTTCATTTCATCCACCTTCGCATGTTGGGCGTATATGACATACTCGCAGCTCAGTTCACAGTAGGAGCCTGGCTCCAGCACCAGGGCTTTCAAGTGGCAGGTTCACACTGGTGGCATGTGGCACCCGCCGGGCATCGAGGGTCAGAAGGACCCGCTTGTCTCTGCTCTGCCAGCGTGGGGTCGGGGAAGCGGGGCTGTTCAGCACTCCCGTTGCCATGGATCCATGTAGCCGCTGCCACAGCACTGTTTCCAAGCCAAGAAATGTCTCAGGGAGGCTGCGGGGGGTTAGAGGCAGGGAGCAGGATCACTTTCCCTCGGAGCAAGGGGCTAAACGTGCTTTTATGAGGTTGCTCACGTGCAGCCCCACAACTGGAGAACAACCTCTTCTATTAGAGCGACAGCGCTGGAAATGCCAGGACAATAACTGACCCGCTTGTATTTGTGCCTCGTGGGGGCTGTCCTGCAAACAGTCAAGTTGTTTTACTCACAAAAGCTCTCCAGTGAGTCTAGCAGTAGTTATGCATGTGCACTTGTTCTGGCAAGGTCAGATCCTGACAGCCTGGAGGCATGTGTGTGTCCACATAGGAGAGACCAAGCGTTTTGGGTATGTTTTTCTTCTTATTTCCCCCCCTAGAAAATTACCTAGCAACAATTAGTACCAGCGTTTTTGTAGTAATAGGGCTGCGGTATATAACAGCAGCAATGTAGCACACCTAGGCAAGGAAAGGCCTGAGAACGTTTCAGTAGAAAATTGATCCCGTTTTAAGCTTTCAAATCTGAGTTAAACAGAGGTTTTAAACACGTGTCACGAGTGGCTTTGGATCGGGTTTAAAATAAATTTTATGTGTTTGCAAACAGCGAAACTAGAAACTGCAACAACAAGTTTGTGTGTTTGGGGGGAAAGACATCAGGGAAAGAAGGAAGGAGCCTATCTAGAGATCTTATCTTCGTCTTTCTTATGAGGACAATTCAGCCAGCCAGCACTGGAAGCTGATCACATTTGGGTGGTTCCCAGCAGCTGCATTTGTGCATTTGGAAAGGAAAAGGCAGCAGCAGCAGGCCAGGTAGATATCCAAGTGTATCCACGTCTGCTCTTTTCGCTAAAATACCAGATGTTAGGACTTCACTTGTAAACTTTTAATGACAAGGATGAAAATGAAAAGTTTGCCGAGTTCTCTGCCTGGCTCTGTTTCTACACAGAACAGTGCAAACGTATCCCTGCTCACCTGTGCTCAGCTTTTTGCAAGTTATAGATGAACTCCATAGTCATTTGCAAGACTTCTTAGTTTTCCTATCTGCTATAGGAGGAGGAAAGATGGGAAAAGTCTAGTTATAATGCATGAATCATTTTTTAAAAAGAGACCACAGTGGCCACTGCTGCCATAATAAGCTCTTTCAGGAGAGCGTTTGTTCAGCGAGCGTAAAACTTAACGCTGCTAAGGAAGCCAGAGCACACGCACTCACTGCCTGCCAAGCAATCGGGGGTGCGGGAGGAACCTAGACATAGTGTTAAGGCAGGGCCCCTGAATCCAGGCTGTCAGTATGAGGATACCAGATTTCGTTAGTTTTGCTACTGGAGTAGATAAGGAAACTTTGTGTAATAAAAATACTTCCCAGCTATTAGGCTAAAATGCATGCATGCAGCTCACTAAACCTGGTTAGCATGGGTACTGAAAAAGGATTTTCAGGAAGAAAGGCATCATATTAACTGAATAGAAGTCTCTGCTGTGCAGTAAGTGTGATTTCTTATTTAAAAAATAAAGGCAATATATCCAATTGATCAGGATATACTTCCTTAGTAGCATTAGGTTTTATGCTTCTGTGGAAGTGATGATGAACAAACAGATGGACAAAGTGTACAACCTGGGAAGCCTCATTTCCTTAGGAAACCAGTTACAAACCAGACAGGTATTTAATTTTGCGTTGTCAGGCCTTCAAGATGCATCTCGAATTGACAGCGAAGGACCAGACATAGATTTTGTTTGCAGTAAACATTAGCAGTACAGTAGAGATTTATTTGTATTACATATAAGCTTGACAAAGCCACAGAGAAATTCAGTGGCAGAGGCTACAGATCTCTTGGTTCCCATTCCAGCAATCAGAGCGTGTCTTCTCTCACAGAAGGGATCCATTGATGTAGCGTCAGAGAAATTAAGCACTACATTTTACAAACCCTGACTCCTACCTGAGGTCACAGCCTTTGCAAGCGAGGCCCATTCAGCTAAGGAAAAATCATTTGGGCCAGAATTTGCTGAAATAATTTGCCATATTGTGCTGTGCAATATATTAAATGAATCAGGGTATAAGAAACAGATGTTTGTTCTAGTGGGTGCAGGAGTCCAGGCACAAAGTATTGGGTTACTGTCTGTCTCAGATAACAGGATAAAGTGGAAAAGTTGGGATTAGACATTCTACATGTGTCCCACGTAGAAACTGTAAACCTTAGAAATGTAGCCTGTGTCCCCCAACTGGCGTTACGTGAGTGAACCCTCGTGCTTACCATGCAAGCAGTCCCAGGCTGTGGTCAGTATTTAGCACACAAACCTGGGCACCATGAGAGCACGCATCTTTCTAAAATAAATAAAATAAATGATAAGGGACACAGTGAACAGCTCCAGTGAGCGAGGAGGAGCAGAGTAGCAGATGCTGGGAAAGAGGCTGTAGCCCTGGTTCGGACACTGGCTTTTGAGAGACGGAGAGGGAGCCTGCAGGGCTGGAAACCCCATCGTTGCAGAGGCGGCAGCAGCGTGGCGGGAGCACGGCACAGAGAACTGTAATCCTCGCGCTGCTGCTGGCTCCCCGAATGACCTCAGACAACTCAGTTGGTGTCTCTGCTTCTCCTCCCACTCCTGCTTTGCCTCAACTGCTTAAACCATAAACTCCTCTGGGCCGGGACGGCCTCTCCCTGCAGGTTTGTGCAGAGCTCAGTGCCTTAGGCTCCCCATTTTACTGCGGCCTCTGGTTCCTCAATCCTGGAAAGCAGTTTGAGGCCAGATCCCCAGCCAAACACCCCTCTCTCTGAAATCTGACATTCCTGCTACCCATTATTATTTTCTTTAGGTTGGCAATAATTTTTGAAAAAACGCAAGGCATCATTCTTACTTTTTAAAATCTGTATAAATAAACAGAGCTTAGGCAGAGGTCTGCCTCCTTCCGTATCTCATCGAGTCCAGTATCATAGTCAGTGCTTCCTGGCTGCAGGAGCCGTGAGCTTTATTCCTAAAGGAAGAAAGAGCTGCTGCTTCTTTCCTGTTGCTGTTTGCAATCCTCGCTGCACTTGAAGTGTGCTGTATCCTGAGTTATTCTTAAACAAGCTTTCCCATTGTTCGATTTGCTGGTTATGAATTCTGCCCCTTTGAAGAAATATGACCTGTGTTTTGGAAAAGTGAGAATGATATTCAGCCTGCACGAGATACTCATCGCAGTGACATACAGGAAAAGGATGAGTACTTTACACTATCATCATGAATGAAGCACAGGAAGGAGGTGCTACAGGGCAGAGGACAAGCTTCTGGGAAACTTCCACACTTCCTGATGCTACGCTGGCTCAATTTATACTCCTAGCTGTGCGCTTCCATTGAATAAATATGTTTCTGGTTTATTAAAGGGCTTCTCTGGCACCGATGCTGCAATATGTATGCCTTGCCTCCACTAGGATGTTTTTTAAGGCCTAAAAGCAGTGATTCAGACCTACTTGTAAGACATCAGTGACATTTGTGTCGTGATGACCTGTGCTGGACAGGGCTGGATGACATGGGGACAAGCACTGGTCCTCTGCAGGCCTGGTGACTCCAGCTCTGCTCCTCTGCTCCCATCAGTACCGTTAGCTGAGTATTAGCTGGAGTGGGAGACGAGGCCAGTGCTGATAGAGACCAAAGCGCCGCTCTCTGCAGGCTGCAGCCTCCCTCCGGGACGCGGCGAGCGGCTGCACAGGGTGCCTTTCCCTGGCGGATGAGCAGAGGAGAGCTGGTACCATTTTCAGAAAGGAAGAAGAAGGAGAAACAACCCCAGCCAGGATTCACGTAATATAGCTGCAGCTCTGCCAGGAAACAGACTGTAAAAGTTCCTGTATTTAAAGCCGAGAGATGAGTTTTATTGTTAGAAGTTGTTATAGCAACCTGATGTGCTGGAGAGCAGTACATGCGAGGCGCGTTGTAACAGACTCTGACAAGTTCAAGGCTCTTGCCTTGCTGCTAAATCTTGTTGCCAAGGCAATGCAACATAAGGCAAGAGCCTAGAGAAATGAATACTGCTGACAGCTCATGCCAGCAGGCTCTATCTGATTAAAAAGGAACTTCTAAAAGTAATGTTCACTTAAGCAGTACAGCAGCAGAACAAGAGAGAGGGGAACAGAGATGGAGAAAGGAATCCAAAGGAGAACGAGCGGGTTAAGGTCGGGCAACAGGTAAAGCAAAATGTTTGATTTGAAAGCAACGTGGCTGATCAGAACATCTTGGCCTGTAATGCAAAAAATGCACCACATTTTTGGAAGAAGTAGGAAAATCAAGAAATCCTCATTTTTCACATTTGTTTAACTTGGGCAGAACTGCTATAACTTGTATGGGAACTTTGGCTTTTTACCAATGATGCTGACATTAAAAATTGTTTTCTCGGTAAATTTGTTCGGTGACATGGGTACTGTTGCCGCTGTAGTAAAAGCCATGAAATAGCTCTTTTAACTTTCAATTTTGTGTTCATTTCCAGCTTTTTTAGCCATGCTTCACGGCAAAATTTTAGCTAGCAAAAAGCTGAGGCTGAAAGCTAGTTACCCTATCCTAACTACAACTCTCTGCTAAATGTCGACAGAGTGCTCTAAGCTGAAGAAAGAGTACTACTCCAAGGACCGCAAAGTTAAAATGGGTGATCAGTGCAGAACAAATTAGGTACATAATTAATCTCAACTACCAATGTGATATTCTAATATGTATTATTTGATACTAGAATAGTAAAATGCAAGCACTTCTATGTACCTCAGATCTCAGACCTCAGTGATCTCAGATGAACATGTTGACTTACTGATTTGTAAGAGCATAATGTTTCTTAAACGATTGCCATAGCAGTAGGGTGTTCCGTTCTTACTTACATCCCACATGTCTTAATTTTCATGAAATATCAATAGCTAAAAATGATCTCAGGTTTTCTTGTTCAAGGGCTATTTCAGCCTGTGCATCTTGCAGTACAATAGCCACATAAGGTGATATACCTGAAACCACCAAAAGGCCCTTGGTGGAGTTTGTTCTCCTAGAACCTGCTATGAGTTGTGGAAAAGCTGTTAGATCTGCAGGCATTTTTATACCATTTAAAAATGGGAAGCTAAGAACTGGGAAGAAATGTGTCAGTTGTGCCAGAGGTTTTTGTGTGAAAGTATGTGCAGAGCCATCTCTTGTGACTTTCACAAAAGTAAGGCTTTTAATTAACTATGGAATGTTCTTCTACTAACTTCAAGTTCTTAAATGGTGGTCCAGGAAGCACTTGCTGGTGATCAGCAGACAGGTGGCTGGCTGGTCATATGTTCATAACCATCATTTGCTTTTCAGCAGCTAAATTATATTCAAAGAAGCTAGCAACATGTTTATACCTTCCTACTGTCACTGGTGTTCTTCCACAGTTGCCATAGCTAGCTGTAAGATATTCTTGGATCAGAAAGAAGAGAAAACCTGGTTCAGGCAATAAGACAATGCACAAAAGGATGCTTTTATTAGAAGACTGTCCATTGTATAAAGAAACATGAGAATCCTAGAACTGAGCATTAGCATTTTTCTGAATAAGAAGCAGAAGGAAACTATTTTTAGTTTCAGTTGACTTTCTCTGCTGGTGATTTCACACATAGTGTTTACTTCTTAATATATCCAGGAGAAGGTTTGAAAGCCATCCAGAATATCCTTTCTTTTTATGAAGAGATGCACACACAGGAGTCCTTGGCTAGTAAAAAGACAAAACCATATGGGCAGGACACGCAGCTACATCAACACTTACTTGGTCTGCAGGATGCCGGAGCATCTCTAAGACCTGGCTCTCCTAACTGCAGATCCCATCTGCCCCTGACGCCTGTGACAGTAGGACCCTTCTCGGAGGGTTTCTGGGCCATCTTTACTATCCAAAGTCAGCTGTATGATGTCTCCTCCAGGACAGACGGGATGCACAGGGGGAGCTCGTACCCCCCAGAGGTAAGCCCGGCCGAATCGCACTGCAGCTAAGTGCACCTTGGCACGTGCTGCAAAACGTGGGGCACAGCCAGAGGCCCCCCTGCTTTCTTCAGCCTCCTACCCCTCTCTCCCACTGTGCACCTATTTAGTCTCTCAAGAGCCAGCATGAGAGCGGGGAAGTAATAGGGGGCCTGGACAGTGTGCCATCAAGATAGCTACTGATAGCAGAGTAGGCAGAGTTATTTCCAGAATGATTAATACTGTTACCACATGCTGAAGCTTAAAGCTTAGCGTAAGCTTTAAAGGAATGGATTTTGATGTAAAAAGTGAATAAATGAGACAACTGTCAGAACAATGAGTGGTGGAGCAAGCAGAGATACTTAGCGGAGGACATGCAAAGCACTCCGTGCTGGCAAGGTTTCACGGAAGCTCGCGGTAAAATTCCCATTGCCCTCCAGGCTGCAGAAAGAGCCTAGCAACGGCGCATGCTATAGATGCACCCATGGTGGCCCGCAGCAGGCTGCTTCCACAGCCAAAAAGCCACAGAGCGTTGAGCCTGGGCACAGCCGCGCTAACACACCTGGACAGGCCCAGGCGCTGGACCAGCTCCCTCCCACGGCTCCCCCGAGCCATCTAGCACAGCCCCAGAGCCTGTTCAGGGGAGCTGGGTGCTGCTCTTCACTCTAGATACCTTGAATGCTTGCAAGAGTACCAGTTCGAAGGCTCATCCTATTACTGAATAAAACATACCTCTGAAAAGGGCCATCATGACTATACCGTCTTCTTACAATCCCTTTGTCTTGCCTACTCTGGCACTCTCAAATGTAATAATTGAAAACCTGCTGCTAATTTTTAAAAGTCAGTTTTAACCTACTATAGGCAACTCCCAGAAGGACAGTATTTTAGGTAATGAGTTACATAGTAGTGATCATGCTTAGCATTTTTCTGGGTTTTTACTCCTGACACTTTTCCCAGAGGACTCTGGAGCAGGTAACAAAATATAGTAATAGCTGTACAGTATCCTCTTCCCTGATTCTTTTTTTTTTAACCTCATTAGTCATCTTGTCTACTTGTTCTGCTAACAATACCAAATTGTACAGGCAGTTTTTATTTCCTTTTTGAAAATATTTTCCCCTCTTTCTTAAATGAGACATTTTGAAACTAGATGTCTCTAATGGATCCACCAACATTTGGAAGAATTTATTACATTATATCTGCATCTGAAAAGAAGTCACATGCTCGGCGTGTTTCTCTGTAGTAGCTAATTCAATGTGGACTGCACCACATGATCCCCTTTTCCAGTCTTTCCTTATGGCCTCTGAGGAATGTTGCCTTGGCTGCGAGGGAATTACTAGGTCTTGGCAAGACATGTTAATATCCTCGCAAAGACTTGTTAGGGACCAAGACATCAGCCTCCAACTATTTCCTCTGATAAAGCAGAGTGTTCACAATAGTTCATTAGTCTTGAATCAACAGATTGACTTGGATTGATAGAAATGAAAGTTGCACACAAAATAAGACAGCTCTGAAAATACAGCTGGCTGCTATTGCCTGACTTGTGGGGAACTTTGAAACAGAAGTATAAAGTGTCAGATCCCATTAGAGAAATCAGTGGCTCACGACACGTCAGTCTAGGGTTGGGAAAACGAACACACAAGTGGAAGACAGGTTGCGAATTATGGCATCACCTGCTGCATTTGGAATTGAAAGGCAAATTAATTGCTTCACTATGTCTGAAAACTTGGACGCTTGTATGTGGGGATGCAAATTCAGTGAAAATATTTCTTCCCAAAGACCTGCCCAGGTTCATACACAAAGTTTGTAGCAGAGAGGGAAATACAGTCCCAGCTTGTTATATTTATCCCTTTTTTAACACTCAAGGTTATCATCAGCATTCACAATTACACTGATAATCCTTGAAAGCACCAGAGAGTGAGTATCATATCTGCAGCTGGATCTCTTTGCTAGGAAACTAGTTACACAACATGGAAAATATTTTTGCTATCTAGTTTTGAATCTTTGATAACAACATCCAAGTGAAGGGACTGTATTGTTCATGCATTAGACAGGGAGGAATCACTTCTGCAGCCCCAGCCTGTTGCCATGCCAAGTCTCTGTCCGCACAGCAGAGTGGCCAAGTTCTGAGTTACAGGTTTGGTAAATCAGGAGTGGCTTTCTGACACTCATCTGAATTTCAGAGCCTAACTCAGAGGCAATGTAAGTCAGCCGTTTCCCCAAGGGTTTGCTGAGTGGCAGCAATGCTTCCCTGGGTCCCCGGGCGGCAGGAGAAATACATGCCAGATACGGGTATCCGTCAGACACTCAGAAATTCCCAGCTGAGTCAAGGCCCCTTTTCTTGGCTACATGCTGGCCTCTTTACACCTCTTGGTGTTGTAAAAGGAAGTGAAGCAGCCGGTTCTCATGTATACGTTTAATAGCTTTGAAAAGGCCCCAGATTGTAGAAAATGGAGCAAGGCTGCAAAGTCTGGAGCTGATTTCATATCTGCAAGTCAGACAGGATGCTGGATCTGTCATTGTAGTTTGGTTTGACAAAGGGCCAACTCCAACACCACCATTCCCATCTGCTTTAATGTCAGCTGAACAGTTGTGTGCTATCGTCCTATCCTTCACCATCCAAGACCTATACTAAAGGCTAAAGTCTCCCCAACTTTCTGAGGAGTGCTATCACAAATTGCAGTCTTGTACAATGCCATTTGGTGTCACCCTATGTCATATGTTTGACACTGGGATCTAAATCAAGAGCTCAGTCCAGCAGGTACACAAGGACATGTTCCAGTCCAGTGGATCTCACTTGGGCTGTGTATATCCTTAGCTGGGCACACGTTTAAATAACTCATTAAAGCCACGCTCAAACAATGAGGAAAAGTGTCCCAGTAGAAAGACAGGGGACCAGCTCAACCAAGCACACACAACTAGATGTGTTCAAACCAGCTAAATCCTGTAATGCTCTGTGTACATACCACAAATCCACAACATAACTCACTGTCCTGCTTGGCAGAACAGTGTTACTGCCTCTTGGGAAACAAGCATTTTTGATCAAAGACTACCCCTGTAAAATAAATAATCAAACAAAACTAATGTGTGTCTATGTGTGTAGATATATGTATATATATAGTTCACATGGATTTATATGATGTGATGCATATGTTAATGTCAGTTCATGTTAGGGTATAGAAACTGATGGGGAAATTGTAGCTACATGGAAACAATGGGAATTTTCCTGTAAACTTTAGCATGGCAAAGAGACTATTCTCCAAGCTTGTAAAAGACTTCTTGTGAAGCCTGCTAATTATACGTTAGCCAGACCTTATTACAAATAAGTAATAAGTATAGGCGTGTTTATTGTTTTTATTAATAACATTAACATCCTTTCCGATCATTTGCAGAACTACAGGGGGGCAGATACTTAATTTGTACTGATGTATCTCCCGCCCTGCGGAAACCCAGGCAACTGTGCTGGTGTTTGATTTGTTTTCACCATCTCCTTTCAGACAACCCAAGGCCTGTTTTCTGCACCGTTGTCTGAGCTTCCTCTTCTCCCGTGTAACACTTCAACATTTTTAGAACTTTTCTTAGTCAATCTGTGTGTTGTTTTGTAGCATATATGTGATCCCACATAAAATTACACATTATTGCTTTTAAAAGGGATTTGTGTTTTCCCTCCTCCACAGTTTCCTCATCTCCCTCAGTGAAACAGCTGTAACGCTGAAGTCTGCTGTGCAGATGCATTTTTCTCTTTCCCCACCGGAGTCCAAGAGAATTCAGATACCCCCGGTTAAAGCCACTGACTTTGCAATTTATGGTACCTCAACAGTAGGGAGAGACAAACTCTGAGCTGGTTAAAACATGTTCTGAAAAATGACTTGGATTTGCTGGGCAAAGACAAGCAGAGTTTTCTCTCGCACGCTGTGCACATACCTCCGTGATTGACTTGTTTTGTTTTGAGTTTCCACAGTCTGTTTGCACAGACCTGACCATCAGGCAACACTCTCCTCTGCTTCCTGCCTGAGAACAAACTGAAACAGTCAGCAGAAGCAATCTGATGTCCTTTACTATGGAAAGCACTGACCACAATTTGTCCCGCCAGGGAAATCAGTGCTTTAAGTATATGACTAATCTACTGACTTCATAGGAATATCTTTTGATGGATTTTTTGAGCCTGCTGTCAGTGACTGCAGCGACAAAAGCTACATTATACTGAGCACGCGCTGACGCGCTCGGCAGAGCGAGTGCCAGAGCTCCGCGTCCGGCCTATTGACCCGTCCGTCCTGCGCTTGGGGGAATCCTGCCGGCAAATCTCGTGGCCTCCCGCATGAGGGGACCCAGCTCCTGCACCCTTGGCTTTCAGTCAGCTGAAAGGAGGCCATCCTAACGCTGGGAATATACTCAGAAAATACATATGAGGTCATTCCCAGGAGTCTGCTTCGGTATTTGAGGCCCTTGACATTGAGAGGAGCTAAAGTCTTA